GAGAGAGAGAGAGAGAGAGAGAGAGAGAGAGAGAGAGAGAGAGAGAGGCAAAGAAAGAAAAGCAAAAGAGAGAAAAGAAAGAAAAGAAAAAACGAGAATGAAAAAGGTTTGTGTGCTTTGAGGTTATGACAGCTTCCCCTCAACAATCCATCTCCAGCTGCCAGATGTTTCCCGCAGTCTCCATAGCCCTGGGGGAGGTTTTCCGTCCTGCTGATAACGTTCATGCAGAAGATGGTGGTGGCGGGTCTAGCGGCTGCTCTGCTCACAGGGATGAGACATGCGCTCTGTCTGTGGCTCACTTGCGCTACCCTGTTCACATCCACACCGACGCGGGAGCCACATGCGCTCCGCAGCTCGCAGCCGACCCCCGCCCGGGCTACAGCATCCCTGAGCGCCTCCCTTGCCTGGGTACCCGAGTGCGCACTCCAACCACGGCCCCTCACCCCTTGCCCCTTGCTCCTCGCTCCTGGCCATCCTGCTCCCCTTCCCCCAGCCAGTACTCACCAGATCGTCCAGGTTTTCTGGGAGGCTCTGGAGCGAGTCCGCAGACTGGAATTTTTGTGTACACTCTCCAGTACCTGATCCCCTTTCTCCTATCCTCGTGGGTTTGCAGAAGGACGGGCTCTGGAGGTGGGCGCCCCTCTCCAGAACCACTCTTTTTCTTTTTATGCCCTCCAAGTCGCCTTTGGCTTCTTGGTTGCGCTTGGCAGGAAACTAGCCCAGGGGGCCGGGTATGCCAGCCCGGATCCCGGGCTGGGGGGTTGGAGAGGAAGTTAGCACCTCCCCATGGTCTCAGTCCCCTGCCGCATCCTTGCAGGCTCGCGGGAGGACAGGCTGCCTCCCGGCTCCCAGCCCTTTCCTCTCAGTCTAGCCCAGCCTAGCCCGCTTCTGCCATTGGGTTGCGCGCCCTCGCGAGCGCGAGCGCGCGGGGGGTGGGGTGGGGGGGAACCTATTCCTTGCTGCAGCTGCAGCAAAGATTTCTCACCAGCAAACAGCCAGGGAATCTGCAAAGCCCTTGATGAGAATGGATGCGGTAAAGGTGCCCAGCAAAGGAAAGGAGCGAAGAGGGGAACATGGCAGCCCGGGAGTGATGAGGATGGGGTCCAGGAAGGAAGAATTGGAGGAGGTAAGGGTGGTGAAAGTCAGAGAAGTTTGCACAAGGTAGAAAAGAAAGGTGTGTGAGGAGATGGGCAAGGGAGAAAGAGAGGGAGAGGGAGAGAGAGAGGAGGGAGCAGAGAGAGAGAAAGAGAGAGAGAGAGAGAGAGAGAGAGAAGTTAGGAGGAAACAGGATGACAGAGATGAAAACTCAGAGATCTCTAATATGTTCTTTAAATGGCACCAGGACAGATTAGGAATTAACATTGAGAAATTAAGAATTTCTTAATTCTTAATGTAAATTAAGAAAAGCACTTAAAGGCTGCAGTTCATTTCTGTTCAGTGATTCACCCACCCAAAAGGATAATTTCCTGCAGCATGTGTATGTTTGCCATGTGTGTGCATGTGCGTGTATGTGTGTGCATGTGTGTGTGTGTGTGTATGTGTGTGTGTGTATGTGTGTGTGTGTGTGTGTGTGTGTGTGGTGTGGTGTGTGGTGTGTGTTCTCCATGCACGTCTCCTTTGCTTCAGGGTTTAGAAAACTCTACTCGCAGTCACCTCCAAAAAGACATGACTTTTTTTAGATGATTTCATCACGTTAGTTTAAGTTTGTACAAGAAAGTAAAAAGGAATTACACTAAGGTTTTAGGAATGTTGTCACTTTGTTTACAGAGTCGCCTTTAAAACTGTCATTTTACTGGCTGTTGTTTTATGAGAAGAGGCTGGGACACCTCCAAAGGAGGTGATGGCAGTAAGTGTAGACAACATGAAAGATAGCTTTCTGATGTCCTGCATATGTTTTGATACCTCCCAATACAAAATAACATGTACTAAGGAGAAATAACAGTAACCTGAGTCTTCAATGATGTTCTTTAAAGGCTGGGGATAAGCCCTGGAGACCTCAACCCTACTCAAAAACTGTAGACAACTTAGGGGAACTGGGAGTGGGAGAGATTCTTTTCCCACAGAATAACACACCAGTCAGTTGTCCTCTGGAAAATAGTTTGCTCTGAAAATATACAAGTAATATTACATGGACTTGGCAGGTTTATATAATGAATATATATATATATATTCATATAATATATATAAACATATGAATTATATACAACACGGATTTTAAATATTTTCCTTTTTATCTTTTCTGTCTGTGTGGAAACTAAGGCTGTAAATAATAGCATTATATATATTCATATGATAGATATGAATATTCATATGATATAGCCATTTAATATATGTGAATATATATTCATGTGATATATTATCACAAGAACACACACACATATATGCATGTGATAACAATTAGTGAAAAGGAGGCCATAGATTTGAAATGGGGGGGGGGATTAGAGTATAGGAGGGTTTGGAGAGAGTAAATGGAAGAGAGAATTGTAGTAATTTAATTACAATCTCAAAAAGAAGTTAGGGAAAGTGGACTAGCACCTCTCATATTTTTCAAAAGAATCAAGCAAGTGCCTGAGTGTGTCTGATATAATGTGTCAAAGGAAAGCTGATGGCTTATGTCAAATTGCAGCAAGAACATTGCCTGGTAAAAGCTTTCTTGAAATATGTGTTTACCTTTATCTCTTCAGGTTACCTTCCCCCTCCTTATTTCATTTCATTAAAAATGGATAGTATCCAGGCATATATATTTATTGGGTTCCTAGTGATATTATGATTTATTAATATAAGCTGGGATAACAAGTAGCAAATTTATATATTCATCACCTCAGAATTTATTTTTGTTTTGTTTTAAGAACATTTGAAATTTGCTTTGATGAGTTTGAATTCACGTGCATGTAGTCAAAATGGAAAACTTGAATATTGTTGGTGGGATTAGATTCACTGTGACTATTGCAGAAAACTCAGTGGATATTTCTTAAGCAACTAGAAATATCATTCATGTCTTTTTATTACATGTGACCAGTGACCTGTTTTATAGTTTGAAGAGGATATTTTAAAACCTTTGCTAAAACTCCAGAATGTTCTTCTATTTCCTTAATTCTCAGTTTGCTTTTAAAAATCACATCCTTTTAAAAAATGTTCCATCAACATTCCTGTTACATCTCAGCACAGATTGCTGTGACACAAACAACCAAATTCTAAGTAATTGGATTACAAATCATACGTTGTCATTTTGGTTCATGAGGCGTTAGTCTTGCACAACAACAGGGATTTGAAATGTTTTCTTCTTTATCTTTTCTGTCTGTGTGGAAACTAAGGCTGCAAATAATAGCATTCTGCTTCTGTTATAAGATATAATAAAGTAAACTACACAAAATTTATGCTGGGTTTAAGTTAAATTAAAATTTCAAACATACTAAACAGTTTAACTCACCTTCTGTTTGGTAAGTTTTGATTCTTGGTGATGGACAGAGGTGGTTATAGACTTTTCTCAAAATTGAAAAACTGGAGCTTTCAGAATTTTTATTTTGTCTTTTTTTTTTTTTTTTTCAGAGCTGAGGACCGAACCCAGGGCCTTGCGCTTGCTAGGCAAGCGCTCTACCACTGAGCTAAATCCACAACCCCTACTGAGTTGGATGGATGTAGGACAGTCTTTATTTGTTTTATAGAGCTGTCACACAGACTGGCAAGCCTGTAGTTACATTCTTTGCACATAGTAATGCTTTTTATTTTCAGTTTCTAACTAATTAGTCCATTCACTTTATTTTACTGGTCTAAACTCTTCTTCTTACATGAGTATATCATATACATGTACAAGTTAAATGTAGGGCACTTAAGTATTGTGACATAAAAGTGAGCAACTTCTCCACCATTACTAGAGGACCCGCAATGCTTATGAATTCTTTCTAGGACCAAGAATTGAGCTGAATCCCTGCTTGTAGCACCTGATCAATAGAACACTTTACATGGAATTGTATTGATTATCAGGTGTTTGCTGTAAGAAACTATAACGTCTCTCTCAAAACCTATGGTACCAATAAATTTTTGAAACAACAAGGTATCTGGAAGGTGAAAATAAATGCAAAATCCATGTTATTTAGAAAAAGTAGTGTGGCCTGCCACAAGGGCTTCATGGTTTTGGAGTAGTAAGAGTTGCCTGATTTCAGATAAGAGACTTCTAGTTTTCTGGCCATTTTAGCATTGTCATGTTACTAGACTTTCTGTTTTAACAATATCTTTAAAATTTCCCTACAGCTCTGACATAAAGTAGGCAATGTTTGTCGTTAAATTTTGCCTGAAAAAATGTGGCCAAGGCTTTGAAAGAGAGCGCCCCAAAGTGAAAGGTCGGTAACTCATAACTTGAAGGTGGTTTAGACTAAGTTTACAGAGCAAGAAAATTTGATTTTCCATTCATTTGCAAAGATAACCAGGTAGGAATTAGTCACATGTTGAAGATGAGTGGACATAAGGCTTTCTGGACACTGAAAATTCAAGTTATTTAATGAGAAGTGCTGAAAGCGAAGCCGAAAAGCAACAAATTAAAAGGATGTAAACTTTCTCAGCAATTTTGTCTGCATCTACTTGATGGGGATGTGTGGAGAAGGTACACGCAAACTCATAAAGACGCTATTTTTTTTCTTTAGATTAAAATTTTTTATGTACACATGGTAAAGTTATATAATGAGGCTGGGAGCATAGAAAGTAAATGAGAAACTTTTGATAGTCTAGGTGAGAATCTACCATTCGAGTAAAAATAATAACATTTAACAGTAGCTCTTTAGCCCCAAACACTGCCTTTAAGTTTTTATACCTAAAAATATACAACCCAAATTAGAAATATTTGAGGAACTTTTGGTCACAACAAAACACAAAAAAATCTACAAGCCCATTGATAAGAGGGTTTTTGCTGACAGCCAGTATTAATTGTCAGTTTGACAAGATCTAGAGTCACCTGGGAGACAGGTCTCCAGGCACGGTCGTGGGAAATTATCTTAACTGTATTAATTGATGTGCAACAACTCATCTTAATTTTTGGCAGGACTCTTCCTTGGGTAAGATGTTGAACGGTACAAATGGAGAAAGGAGGGTGAGCAGCAATATCTATGCATTTATTTTCCTCTGTTTCTGGATTTGTGGATGCACTGTGACTAGATGCTTCAAGCTTCTGTTGCTTTGATTTACATGCCCAATGACTGTACCCTGAACTGTGATACAAATAAACTATTTCTCTCTTAAGTTGTTTTTGTTGAATCTTTTGTCATAGAAACAGGAGTATGAAATCAGAAGATATTTTATTATATGATACATCTGTTGGTATAGCGGTATACCATACAGTTATCCATGGGTAGAAAACGTGTCTATAGACCATGAAATGATCAGTTTTGGACACTGGGAACTGGTGTTATGTCTCTATTTCATTTTATAAGTAAAAAATAAAAAAATTATATTAATTGTCACTATAAGATACTACGGGGTCATCTTATATGTTACCTGCCCTAGTAACACAATTATTTACTTATTTTCCTA